CAGCCTGCACTTTTCACGTCTCCCAGAGAGGATGTCTAACACCACAACACAAGCCTGGAAAGATCTTAGATTATTATGTAATGACTTTATGCTCTATCATGGTTTATTTTTATTATTTTATTAATAATTTATTTATTAATAATTATTTTTTAAAATAAAACATATTGACTTATTAATAATTATTGTATTAGTAATTTATAATGACTATTATATAAAAATGTTTTCTTGCTTCACAATGTGGTAGAACCTTTTTGTTGGATTATTTGTATGAGAAAGCTCAAACCAACATTATTTATTTATTTATTTTTATTTTACTCTTTAATTTCAAGTATGCTTGGTGAATAAAAGTTAATTTATATATTATGGTTCTTTGGAATGTGGCTGTTGGTTTTGTTTCTTTGCTTTGGCGCCACTCTAGTTCCATTTTCCCCCTGTAACTTTTGGTTTGATTACATTTTGATGATTGCTTTATTTATTTTCAAATGCACTCTGCAAAAATCATACATTCTTCTCTTTCATTCATTCATTTTCTTTTTGGCTTAGTCCCTTTATTAATCTGGGGTCGCCACAGCGGAATGAACCGCCAACTTATCCAGCATATGTTTTACACAGTGGATGCCCTTCCAGCTGCAACCCATTACTGGGAAGCATCCACACACATTCACATACACTATGGACAATTTAACTTACTCAATTCACCTACAGCCCACAGAAACGGCAACTGACCCAGCCGAGGCTTAAACCAGTGACCTTCTTGCTCTGAGGCGAAAGTGCTACCCACTGTGCAGCCTCATTCCTCTCTTTTGTTGTTTTTATAATTTTTCCTTATAGAGGAAAAAACAAATTAAGTGTTAAGATTGTGTGTCCTTGTTTATTTCTATCCATTTTCTTCAGTGATAATATTCTAAATCAGTGGTTCTCAAACTGTGGTACGTGTACCACTAGTGGTACACAGGCTTCCTTCTAGTGGTACCCGCAGGAATGAAATATGTCATGTACATGCTACACACATTTTAACATTTATCAAAAATGATCTACATGACATATAGCCTATATTTCTGAGGTAATCTGCCACGTTTTTTTTTTACTGTGCAGAGGTGTAGCAGCTTTACTGGACCTACTACGCTATTGTATTTCAATACTGGTCATTTTGGTGGTACTTAGAGAGACCATTTTTTTTCTGAGGTGGTACTTGATAAAAAAAGTTTGAGAAGCACTGTTCTAAATGTTACATTTTCTCTCCCTAGACATTGTATTAAGTCATAACAGTCACTGTACCACATTTTCCACACAAATATGAAGCAGCCCAACAGTTTTTTTTTTTTTTACAGTTTTTACAAAATACTGTATGTGATCAAACAAATGTGATCGCTCCTGCTGTGGAAAAAAAACAACAACATATGCTGTTATATGTTTTAACGCTTGGCTACTGGATTGAGGAGATCTGTTCCTGAGCAGAGGCTAGTTGCTTAAAACCAGCTTAGGACAAGCACAAGACCAGCTTAAACCATCTCTTAACTAGCTTAAACCAGCTCTTGACCAGTTTACACCAGCTCAATCCAGCAGCCATGCTTTAAAACACACCTAAACATACATATGTTGTTGTTAATTTCTACAGAGTTACTGAGCAGAATAGGCTTATAAAAACATAAAAAACAGATCCCTAATTTTAACATTTTTACAGATCTTAGACTGGTAATATATTTAAAAGCTGTCTTATATAGCAGCCCATCCGTTTTGCTTTCAAATGCTCATATCGTGTGTCAAATTTCATGAAAGTGCTCTTTACGTAAATAGATTAGCCGTATCTTGAAATGAAAGCACGTATGCAGATGTTTGTGCTCACGCGCAGCAGGAGAAAGACACACCATCCATCCAGCTAACAGGCCTGAGATTCCTCCACAGTGAGGAGTAAATCCTCTGCATTACAAATGAGCTCTGAAGGACACTTATTATTCCTGCATCCAGGGAGATCTGTGATTATTCACACAGGCCGACAAGAGGGAATTATCAGGGGGCAGACGATGCCCGTTTTCTTTTCCTTCCTCCGTTCGGTGTGTGAGCTAAGGGCAGATTTAGATGAAGCTGTACATGAACTGACCCTCGGCTGGGTTTTTGCCCACTGCACTGCATGAGCAGCCGATCAGAGTCCAGAGAGCACATTTCTGTCTAGGTGGGTCATGTTTACAGTTTTTTTCCTTCACTGCTTTTTTTCCTCAGTCTGTCTTTAACCGTCACTCTCCTACTCCCTCTCGCTTTCTGACACTTCGCCAAGGCTGAGAGACATCAAGCTTCACCAACATCCATTGGTTGCCAGTGACATCACCGAAGACTCAATTGTGAGAAATACTGGAGGACTTTTTCACTGGCTTTTATTGCCTCCTTGTGTTGAATTTAAGTAATGCATACCATTCTGTTAAAGGTTGTGTTCAGAATAACCTTTCTTTTTTATCAACCAGAAAGTGTCCGGTTATAGTGAAAAAATTATAATTTTTTCGAAAGCTAACAACAATTTCAGTTCAAGCCAAATAAAATTTTAGAAAGTTTAAAAGTATTCAAAGTCTGTTTTCGGTCTGTTTAAACTAAAACACAGATATATTGTCTAGTTATTATTTGTGAATAAGTACCTTATAATTGTAATAATACAATTAATTATAATTATAACTATAATTATAATTATAACTATTATTATTTTATTATTATTCTTATTATTTATGAAGAACATTCTACTGTACAATAATCTAATATGTATGTCACAATTTCTTAAAGTCAAGCTCAGTAAAAACTTTTATTTTTCAAAAGGCTGTCATGTTCATGATATAAACATTTTATTTTCACAATATGATGGATTTTACATAAAAAATGAGACAAAACATCATATGTGCATGGTGACTAAATTATAATTTTTGGTTGACCAATAAATAGAATAACCCCTTTTTTTGGGGTGGCTAAGCAACTGTCACTTTTTGACATAAAATAAATAAAACCATGTCATTCATTTACAGACACAAATCCCTGCAGCCTGCAGCAACATGCAGTCTTTTGTATAAACTGTATTTTAGTTTAACAAAATTTATTTGATAGTTGTTGTTCACTTGGTTAATTAGGCTTTTATGTTTATTTATTTATTTGAAAGTATGTGTTGGCGACGCGGTGGCGCAATAGATTTTGTAGTTAGTAGTTTTGCCTCACAGCAAAAAGGTCACTGGTTCGAGCCTCAAGTGGGTCAGTTAGCATTTCTGTGGGTAGTTTGCATGTTCTTCCCGTGTTCGCGTGGGTTTCCCCCACAGTCGAAAGACATTTGGTACAGGTCAATTGGGTAAGCTAAATTGTCCGTAAAGTATGAGTGTGAATGAGTGTGTATGGATGTTTCCCAGTTGGGGTTTCATTCCACTGTGGCCACCCCAGATTAATAATGGGACTAAGCGAAATGAAAATGAATGAATGAATGTAAGTATGTGTTATGCTTTTTTAAAAATCTTTTTTTTGTTACTTTGATAAATTGTGAATGGTGTATAGGAATTACAACAGTTTCCATATGTGCCTTTAACTTGTAATGGGACCAAAAGTAATAGGACAGAATAATATTCAAAAATCTAACTTTCATTTTTTAAGACTTGTTTTTTAATCCTTTGCAGTCAATTACAACCTGAAGTCTGGAACGCATAGACATCACCAGACGCTGTCTTTCATTCCTGGTGATGCTTTGTCATGCCTCTACTACAACTGTCTTCAGTTCCTGCTTGTTATTGGGTCATTTTACCATCAGTTTTGTTTTCAGCAAGTGAAATGCATGCTCAATTAGATTCAGGTTAGGGGATTGACTTTTTGACACTTCTTTCCCTTCAAAATTTTGCTGGTTGCTTTTGCAGTAGGCTTTGGGTCATTCTCCATCTGCACTGTGAAGCACCGTCCAAAGAGTTCTGAAACATTTGGTTGAATATGAGCAGATAATGTTGCCCAAAACATTTTAGAATTCATAATGCTGCTTTTGTTAGCAGTCACATCATCACCATACTGTACATCCCCACACCATGACATGATCTTGGTCTCATCTGTGCATAGGATGGTGTTCCAGCACTGTGAAGGCATTTGTTTGAACTCTAATCTGGCCTTCCTGTTTTCGAAGCTCACCAATGGTTTACATCTTGTGATGAACCCTCTGTATTCACTCTGGTGTAGTTTTCTCTTGATTGTTGATTTTGACACACATACACCTACATCCTAGAGAGTGCTTTGGATCTTTCCAACTGTTGTGAATGTTTTTTTCTTCCCCAGGTAAAGAATTTTTTGGTAGTCCTCTACAGTTGTTTTTTGTGGTTTTCTGGGTCTTTTGGTGTTGCTGAGCTCACTGGTGCATTCTTTCTGTTTAAGAATGTTCCAAACAGTGGTTTTGGCCACACCTATTTTTTTGGAAATATCTCTGATTGGTTTGTTTTGTTTTTTCAACATAATGATGGCTTGCTTGGCGAATAGTGACAGCTCTTTGGATCTCATCCTGAGACTTGGCAGCAACCAATTCTACATCCAAAATGCAAATAGCACACTTAAAATAACCTTTGGAAACCTTAGGAAAATGAGTGAATAACACACACCTGGACATGGAGCAGCAGAGAAGTCAATTGTCTCATTACTTTTGGTCCCTAAACAAGTGGGAGGCACATATGCAAACAGTTGTAATTCCTACACTGTTCACCTGATTTGAATGTAAATACCTTCCAATTAAAGCTGAGTCTTCTTTTGTTTCAAATCCATTGTGTTGGTGTATAGACCCAAAAATGTTAGAATTGTGTAGATGTCCCAATATTTATGGACCTGACTGTATATAATATTTTGTTTATTATTATTTTATGTTAAAATGTTTTTGAAATTATTATAAAATATCACATTCTTTTTACACTGTATTTTGCAAGCATCCCTGGTAAGCATAAAAGACACCTTTCACAAATACTAACAAAAACCTTTATGACACAATAAAGAGCTTTAAAGCAGTTCTGTACCTTGCGGCTAGTGTAGTGGGCATGTTTGGCCAGTTTCCCATTGAGGGCCTGTAGGAACATCTCATCCGTCACCTTCCCCACATTCATGCATGCTTCATCCAGCACTGCAAAAATGCCCTTATGCTGCTGTTCCACGAGATCTACGATGATCTGATTGTTGAAGTAGTCAATCTGTTTCCATGAACACACAAACACAAAGCTCATTTGCAAACTGCAATAAAGCCAGGCAGACCCATGTAAAACAAGTTTTTTGAAGTATAATATAAAATAATAAAGACGTAAAAAGCTTCTAGAGAAACAGTTGAATAAAACCCACATGTTTCCAAGGGATGCCTTCTCGCTGGTATTCTTCCTGCTCTTGTTTTAGCACCAGCTGAATGAAGAGCTGCTGCAGTTTCTCATTACAGTAATTTATACAGAACTGCTCAAAGCTAGAGAAAACAAAGAAGATGTTGGAGAGATGCTGCATTTGTGATTATGCACAGAGACAAAATATCTCTATGGTACAGTATTATGCTCTTACCTGTTATTCTGAAAGATCTCAAAGCCATAGATGTCCAGAACTCCAATGACTGTGTTCTTACCATGAACTCGAGCGTCGTAGTTTTTCACCTCAATGATGTCATTGATTCGTCCCACAATCCAGCAGAAAAGGCGCTCATAGATGGCCTGTAAGTAACACATAAAAAATGGTTGATTCGTCAAATCTTCTCTTTACCTATTGACAGATAATTTTGTTTGTTTTAAGGAAAAACTCACTTAATTTTGGCATATTGATTCTTAAAACAAAACTTTTCTGTTGTCTAGAAAATGCTTATTTATTTAAGTTATTTTAGATATTTGGACTAGAAAGACAAAAAAACTAAGTAAGAAAAGTGTTTTTTGAAATGTATAGATAAAATAAACAGCAATTGAAACATATATTTACATCTTATAAAGTTATAAAAAAATAAAGCTGCTACTGTTCAAACAATGGGTCAGGGAAAAATATTTTATTGCTTTTAAGAAAAGTCTCACCAGGCTCACTCACACAATGAGCAAAACAGTAATGTTGTAGAAAAAATTATTGCAATATTTATTACTTTATTAATACAGTTATTTAAAATGACTGTTTCATAGATGAATGTTAAAATCATATTTTTCATTTGAAATATACTGTATATACATATCCATTACTGGTCAAAAGTTTGGGATCAGTTTTTTTTTTCATGTTTTTTTTTAAACATAATTATTTCATTCATCAAGGCAACATCTATTTAATGTTTTTTTTTTTAAGTTAAATTGTTAAATATTTATTACAATTTTAAATAACTGCTTATTATTTTAGGTACTTTTAAAATAAAGTATTACTCCAGTGATTATTGCTTTTGTTACAGTGACTCTAAAGACTGGACTATTACTTTTGAACTGTTATTTTATAGTGCAATAACAGTTCACAATTTTACAATTAGTACTGTATTTTTTATTAAATAAATGCAGCCTTGGTGAGCGAAATAAGATTAAAAATCCTACTGACCCCAAACGGTACTGTGTATGTATATATATATATATATATATATATATATATATATATATATATATTTAATGTCACCTTTGAAGCATTGAATTCATCCTTGCTAATAACTGATCACATAGCTTATTTAATAGTAAAATAGCCAACAACACAACAAATAATACATAAAAATGTGCATCAAATATGCTGTGTGTGAATTTATCCATTATAGTGCAACAAAAAAAATTGTTGTGTCATATTCAAGGACAGTACTAGTTGTACATACATTTTATTGATTGTATGAACATTCCTCTACAGCTGGATAACCAAAAAGGAACCACAATTAATACCTTGGCTAAGGCATCACGGCCATAACTGGCCTCTTGATGAGTGTGTTGTTTGTCGATGACATCGCGGCCAGTGGCTACCGTACGATAGAGCATGGCCTTCTCTACATTCTCCTCTTTGGTGGAAAGCAAATCCCCCAACACAGACACCAGCTTCGAGTTCTCAATTAAAGTCACATCTCCATCAGTTCCAAACTTAAGATTCCCCTGAAAACATCAAATAAATCACCCGTCAATAAGTTCATGTAACAGGAAAACATAGTTGGTTAAAAAAAAGTGAACTTAACGGCATAGTTCACCCAAAACTGAAATTCCCATTATCATTTACTCACCCTTCAATTGTTCAAAAATTGTTAGACTTTCTTTCTTCTGCTGAACACAAAAAAATAAACTTTGAAGAAAGCTGAAAACCTGTAACCATTGATTTTCATAAAATTAGTTTTCCTTCCTATGGATGTCACTGGTTACCTCTTTTCAGCATTTTCCAAACTATATTCTTTTGTGTTTAACAGAAAAAAATAACTCATGAAGGTTTGGAACCACTTGAGAGTGAATAAATAGTAAGTCAGTTTAATTTTTTGGTGAACTACTCCTTTGAATATTAGAAATACTGAACCAGATGCAAGATGGTAGCCAGGATCTTGTAGACCGTCTGAATCTCTTCTGTAGTAAATCCAATGACTTTCATTGCATCAGCAACAGCTTTAAATTCCGCACTGTCATTTATTGACGACTGCAAGATTGTAAAGAGAATCTAGGTGAGTTTCAGTCACAAACAAAAGCACAATCCTAGATTAAACAAAGCTGAAACATCATCTTCCTGTTTTTTTGACAGTAAGCTTTTAATTCTACTTTAGGAAAAACAGCCCAGGATGGCCTTTACCTAAAAGGAAAGAGCCAAATGCCCTTCACTAAGTGGAGCTAAAGCAATGCTTTTGAAATGGGAGGTCATTAAACCTCCTATTACTTTCACATCGAATTTACAGCCAAGCAATTAAAAGCTGAAAATTGCTGACACATCAACGACATCCCCAGACTTCCTGAAATAAACGCGCAACAACACTCAAATCACTAATTATTCTGGCCTACAGCTCCTGCAGAGAAATGCTGATTTCATTCAGCAGGAACATTTCGCAGCCACAGCCTTACTGGACGGAGTGTGAAGTGTAGCCAGCATGCACACATATAAAAGACTCTGGAACTGGCGTGAATTGTTCCAAGCGCTCCAGGATGTTTGCTTCAGACCTCTGTGAGCTCAACAATCCAGCCTGTTCCATGACGACACCTTGTTTGTTGCTATAAATTTGTTTTCGTGCTCGCTCATTAAACTCCCTGCAGAAGCAATGGAACAGTGCTCAACATCAGTGCTGTCTCAGCATATGAGGCAATAACAAACAGGTTTTAATATGCACTGATGGCTACTGTATGCATGGAACAGCTATAATTAAATTCCCTGCACAATCATGTGTGATTGCTCCATGGTGCTTTTAATCAAGGTTTGTGCAGGTTAAGTGAGGATAAATTTAAGACTTGGTTAAGATATTTTTAAAGACCAATTAAAGAACATTTGTATATATTGCTATAAAAATTGAATACTTGGCCACACAATTTTAATTTGATCAGTTTAATGGTCCTCTAAAGTAATTTTAATGAACCCTTATAGTACTCTTATTGATGCTAATTTAGTGCAATCAAATAATAAAACTGAAGTAGGCTTTACATTTACATCAATCTCTGGAAGGCTTCACACAATGTCACTAGATGGCGCCACTAGTGTGTGCACTGCACATATTGCAAAATTCAAAAGTGAAAGTTGTCATTTTGTAAGTAAGTAATGCGAATACATAAATAGTGAATTTATTGTGTAATGCCATACACTTAAAACACTTTATAATAAGGGGTCTTTGATGTGAAGGCAGCCACTGGACAACAGCATTAGTGCATTTACCACACACCAGCTCCTGGTGTAGAGTGATGGATCTAATTCAGTGGATGGGGATGATTGGGAGGCCATGATGGGTCAGGGCAGACAAGGAGGGATTTGGCCAGGTCACCGGGGTTCACCCCTACTCTTTACATGAAGTGCCATGGGATTTTTAATGACCACAAGTCAGGACCTCAGTTTAATGTCTTAACTGAAAGATGGCGGTCATTGACATTATAGTGTCCACTTTACTATAAAGGCATATAGTAAGGCATATAGGAGGCATTAGGACCCACACAAACTGCAGGGTGGCCACAATTACGATACTTCTGACAGCAACTTAGTTTTCCCATGTGGTCTCCCATCCAGTACTTATAAGGCTCAGCCCTGCTCAGCTTCAGCGAGCAACCAATATTTATTTATCAATTATAGGACTGGCTGCACAATATTTGACAAAAATTATATTGTGATATTAGTTAGTCTGCGATACGTATTGCAATATGATTATAATTTCACAAGATCTCATATATCTCTGGAATTCAAATTTTTACACTGATTGGGACTATTTTGTAGAGGAGTGTCTGCATAAAGTTTAATTACAACAAATAAAATTGTACCAACGAACAATTGAAAAAAATACATTATTTGTATGGTTTTCTGTGAAATCTAACAGTATTGAGGTGCAGAAATCTAATTATAATAGATAAATAAAATAACACTGTATTGTGTAGAGTACTCATTGTATAAATAACTAAATACAATTATTTTTGGTTTATTTACTTTTATAACCTCTTGGATAAAGTTTGCTTGAATCATACAGTCACAGGTCTTAAAAACACATCCTAATGATAATCTTTCACCTTATTGTAGGGTTAAACTTTGTGATGACTCCACAAGTCACATGTTCTGTGATGCTGATCAACTGTAATCCCAACTTGACATTGATTATGACTGTTACACATTGACACATTGCAATATAGATGCTGAAACGATATATTGTGCAGCCCTACATTACACATTATTATTGTATCATATACACAGTGCATCCTACAGATGACAGAAAATAGGGAAATCTGTAATTTTAAGGTATAATCACATGCCTGAAATATATGCTTTATTGCATCCTGAATGAATGCAATAATACAGCTCATTTTCAAGCTCAGTGAACACTGAATAAACCAATGACGAGGCTATGATCCTCACAGCTTGTGCTTTCCTTTAAAAATCAGCAAACTGTCCCTCACCTAACGTAATGCCATGATCATATGAATATAACACTAAAAATGAAGTTAAGACTTTAAGATTTTTGGTTTAAAGCCCGCAGAAACACCCTTTTATTTTCCTGAGATTTTGAGATCCTTTAGGAGGCCTATTGAACCCAATTAAATTTCAATTTAATGTTACATAAACAATGGCCTTTTTAAATGTCTACGTGGTTAATACCTTTAGCTGGCCTCCCACTTTAATGTAGTTATATGCTGTGGGGTCTCTCTGAATGTGCAGGGATCGCAGCTGAGCATCTGGAGCTCCTTTCACCAGCTGAAAAACACATTTAAAAACACTTTTGACATTTCTCCTGTTGATATGGAGGAGCATGTAAAGTATAGGCTTGCTAATAATGGTTTGCGAGTGTTGGAGTGTTAACAAGCAGGCAGAATTGTTTTGAACATGTTTTGAAGCATAAGCACTCTATTTTGTAGGGGCAATAAAAGTGAGATACGACTGGCCTTTGTAGGCTTTAACAGTGGAGTCATAAATACAGGTTTGGTTGGATTTGTCGACTGGCAAAAACAAAAACATCTTAACTTCTGCGATGAGTCTCTCACTCACCTGGTAGAAAGAGTGGAAACTCCTCTCTCCTTCCTGCTGAAAGATGACTCGGGACTGAGGAAGAAATTTAAATAAGTGTTAAGGATAAAGATCAGGCTAATTTATAATAAGGGTAAACCTTCAATAATGCTAGGGGGGGGGGGGGTTTATGCAGTTGCTTAAAAAAAGAATTTACAACACTGCACTTGCTAGAGTTTCTAATGTAGGTGGTTGTTAAATGGTTGCTGTTTTGGGTGGTTTCTATGCATGGTAAGATGTTTTTTTAAATAGCATCTTAAACTGGATTAAGCAAAAGTAGAGTCCATCACTGATAAACTGTGGTAAACACTTTAACAATGACTGTTTATATGTAAGCCAACAATGATGTTTCCAGTTATCCGAGTCAGGAATTCATTGTAACCAGATGTTCCCATAATAAACAACTTCTCTCCCGTTTACATGCAATTTTCATTTGTCTGATTATTTGCTGAAAAGTGTGACTGAAGGAATAGTTCACCCCAAAATGAAAATTCTGTCATCACTTTCTCGCCTTTTACATGTTTCAAACCTGTTTAAGTCTCTTTCTCTTGTTCAACTCCAAGGGAAGTGAAAGCTGAAAACCTGTAACTGTGACTTTCATAGTAGAAAACAACAAATATGATAGAAAGTAATTCACAACCACTTGAGGGTGATTACATTTACATTTGGGGGTGAACTTTCCTCTTAAGTCTAGGGTCTACACATTCCTTCAGAAATAACAAGAGCATACCATTATTCATTTATTTTCCTTCAGCTTAGTCCCATATTTCTCCAGTCTCTGGCACCTAGACTGCAGCTCTGCACAAGAAATTTGACCTGAGGTAAAACGGTTGTGCCCAACTGAGCCCGTTTTCTCACTAGGTTTTTTCCTTCACTTTCGTCAATCGGTTAAGTTTGTTCCTCACCACTGTTGCCACTGGCTTGCTTGGTTAGGGAATTGTGGAGCTGCGCATCAATGGATTTGCTCTTCCTATTTGGACTTTGGACTTTGAAACTGACAGTTTAAATTTACTAGAACTTCTATGTTAAGCTGCTTTGACACAATCTATATTGTAAAAGTTATAAAGAAATAAAGAGGAACTGAATTAAAATAATTTATCTGGGGTCGCCACAGCAGAATGAACCACCAACTATTCCAGCATAAATTTTATGCAGCGGATGCCCTTCCAGCTGCAACTCAATACTGGGAAACACTCATACACTCTCGCCTTCACACACACGCACTCATACACTATGGCCAATGCAAATTCCAGACAGAAACGCCAACTGGCCCAACCAGGATTCGAACCAGCAACCTTCTTGCTGTAAGGTGACAGTGCTAACCACTGAACCACCGTGCCACCCAAGTATAGCATCATTAAAACTTGATTTACTGTAATTTATTTTCTTTAATTATGTCTGAAAGGTAATTTATTTACTCCAAAAATGTAATTGCCTTATTCAATACTGCTTAAAATCCATATAAATGTAAATGCATAGACATTATAAATGAAACTAATTTCATTTTTATTTTTAATTACTAATTTTTTATTTAAATGTAAATATTAGCTGTGAAAGTTAGCTGAATGTAAGCTCTAAATAAAAATTTATTACTTGAGCATTTTAATAACGAACATACCTTTTTAGTAAATACCATTACTGTCAATTGCATGTTCTCCTGCGTGGGTTTCTTCTGGGTGCTCCGGTTTCCCCCACAAATCCAAAGACATGCACTATAGGTGAAGTAAATAAGCTAAATTGGCTGTAGTGTATGTGTGTGAATGAGAGTGTTTGAGTGTTTCGCAGTGCTGGGTTGCAGCTGGAAGAGCATCTGCTGCGTAAAACATGTAAAAGATAAGTTGGCGGTTCATTTCGCTGTGGCGACCCCTGATTAAAAAAAGGGACTAAGCCAAAAAGAAAATGAATGAATGAAAGAAAGCAATAAGTCAAAATTATATGCATCAAAACATCAATGATTTCCTGTTGTGATGACACCATATTCCATAAATAGCATATATTGTCATGAAGTCTAACTCATTTCCTCATTTCTTAAGCATGTGCAATCTTCATAAATAACATTCTTCAGTTAAAATTGTTCTGAAAAATGTATTTGTAGAACAAAAAAAATACATTTACTCTGCTTTTCTGAACTGATTTTTACAGAACATTTACTTATTAGGACCTAAAAACGAACAGTAATCAATTTTTTTAAGTTGTTAATTAATGTAATTATTACAACAACTTATTATTCTAAATTTTGAGCAAAATAGTGTCCACTGTTTTAATTTAGCAATTCAGAGTTAAGGAAAATTTGCAGTTCATTTAAAAGTGGTGAGAACAAAACATGTGCACTTTGGTCACAATGATAATAAAGCAATTAAGGTTTTAATGTGCTTGTTTATTGCAAATAAAACTGGAGCACACAACACAGCAATTGCCACATAAAGGGATCGGCACTTGCCATTATTGTTACTGTGAGCTTAGCAAAAGCATCGTTTACAAGAGGTAAAATTTAATTGCAATGCTGCAAAAATCCCATTCTAATAACATTACAATGGCAAATGTAGCCAATGGATAATGACAAATCAAGCTTGGACTAATAGTAATTGCTCCAGGTTTGCAGTGCATTTGTAACTGATCTTTATTTTTGTTGTATTCTTTTAAATATAATTTTAAAGGAAGTAATTAAGCGCCCCCTACCTTCTCAAGCAGGTAGTTGTTGATATGGCCGCCAATGGGGTCTCCTTTAAAATCAAAGTTGATGTCCATGTACTTGCCGAACCGGCTGGAGTTATCATTGCGGTTGGTCTTGGCATTTCCAAAAGCCTCGAGGACACAGTTGGACTTCAGCAGCATGTTTTTCACCCTGTATAAACACACACTCTTTTCACTTCGACAGCATTTATTAGCCTAGTGTGCATCACTTTACCTCTAGAGCTAAATCAATGTCAGTTTCAATATGATCTGATTGCTCCCAACATTTGATTTTACAGTAAATACACAAACATGTCTGTATGAAGCATTTATGAGCCATTATACATGGTTATATCTGGCCATATTAGCGTATAGAGTATCACCATGTGGTATGCCGGTATGGTGGTTTAAAACATTTCAGGGGATGATTTATGGGTCCTGCTGCACGGGTCAGACCACAGAAAGCTCAGCATTGGTTCTCTTGCCGAACAGCCATGCATGACCTACTCTTCACACTGGAGGATGGTGCTCCGTTCAGAGGTCCTAACCCTAACGTTACAAGCCTTTCAGGCATTAAGTGGGACACTTTCCTTTATTTTTTGACCCAAATACCTACAGCATCCCATAAAAAGCACTTCACTTTTGCACTGGGCCTATAGTAGAGCTTTGTTGCATTACATATCCCAAAAGCCCCATCAAAGTTTATTTTTATTAATAGTTGATGCTTTAATTATCTTATTTACCTTTAATTAACTGCTTGAATAGTGTATTTAAAGTCATCATTCTAGTTTTACAACTCAAAAACCTAAAAAAACAGTACACAAATCTCCTTCTCAAGTATAGTTTACCTAGGTTAGAAATCACTATACACACACACACACACACACACACACACACACACACACACACACACACACACACACACACACACACACACACACACACACACACACACACACACACACACACACACACACACACACACACACACACACACACACACACACACACACACACACACACACACACACACACACACACACACACACACACACACACACACACGTTGGAAAAATTACAGACGTGCTTCCTGGAAAAAAAGTTCTACCAGTCTACACTTTTAAAATAGCTTTCACCTTTAGAGAATAAACCATATCAACAGGGTGTAATAGCACTGATATAAGACCAAGAGATTGCACAAAGCACGTATGCATTGTACAACAGTCGTCTTTATTGTTATTACTATTACTGCAATTAAAGGGATAATGACCCTAAAATAAAATCTGCTGTTCATGAGAGCATTCCAAATGACTATATTATATTATTAGTTGAAATCATGATCCTTGGTTAATTAATAAAAAGCAAGGGAACAGTATGCACTGCTTCTCAGAGCAACTTTTAGAGTAAAAATGTATCATCTGATACAAAGCATCATCAGATGCCAAGGCTTTTTATATATTTTTACCTGTTTTTTTGACTCAAAACATTTATTTTTACGGTAAAAGTGTCAGTCTCCATTGTATTTTAAGAATTACCAAGGACCACATTTTCAGTTAAAAACCTGTAATGAATTCTGTATTGTTCACTCCAGAAAGAAGAAAATCTACAGTCCTACAGTCTACTTTATCCAAGTTTTAGGAACAACAAATAATAACTTGACTTCTAGTTGATCATTTGGTATCAGAAATGGCTAATATGAAAGGCAAAAGCCTCTAGATTACGCTTATTTTATTTAAGTAAAATAAGTGTAATCTAGAGGCATTTGCCTCTGGTGACTGGGCTGGTTAATCCTGGAGCACCTTGACCTTCTTTGCTTTCAGAAACTTTGATGTGGAGGCTGAAGTACTGTATGAGAGCGCGTACTATCCTGCTGAAGAATTTGCCTTCTCGTGTAGTTTGTAATGTAACGGGCAGCACAAATGTCTTGATACCTCAGGCTGTTGATGCTGCCATCCACTCTACAGATCTCTCGCACACCCCCATACTGAATGTAACCCCAAACCATGATTTTTCCTTCACCAAACTTGACTGATTTTTGTGAGAATCTTAGGCCCATGCAGGCTTCTGCTGTATTTCTGATGATTGGGATGCAGTTCAAGAGATGATTCAACAGAAAAATCTAACTTCTGCCACTTTTTCAAATGATCAATTAAAAGTCAAGTTATCTGTTACTCTTACAACTGGGATCCACCACAAGACTTTAGTCAGGTAGTGTACATTCTGACTGTGTAAATAGGTCAACTATCCATTTAAAACTAAAGAATGAAGGTCTTTGCAAGTTGCACAAGAGCTATGCAGTTTTTACTACCTAAATATTGTATGCCCTACATATTTTTATAGTAGGTGTTATCTTTATCAAGTTACAGAGATAAAATACCATATAAAGAATAGTAGACTTCCCTATCATGTATGTATCATGCTGTTATATTTCAATTAGCATGACCTGGCACTATTTTAATCTCCGCCCTAAATTTAACTTCTATCCCCATCCCTCGTGTGAAACTAAATCACAATGCATCATTCATTCACTCACTACTTGATTTTTCTTAACCATAGCTAAACAAGCATTTGTACAACTATGAAGTCCATCTCCATAAACAACATCAAACACTTGTGAAATGTTCAGAAGTTGTTAATTATAGCATTAAGCAGGCATGAAGAGCAGTGTGTCTTTAACATAACCCATCACTGCAGCAGAAATGAGAGAAACAGAAAGCTTTTGTTGAACGTACCTCTCCACCTCTGCTCTTTGGCTGGGATTGGTGATAGCAGCGATATATTGCATAATGTATTTACTAGCCTCTGTTTTTCCAGCTCCACTCTCCCCTGCAAAATAAACAAATGACAATGAATACCTTATAGATATAAAATATAATTTGACTTTACTGTAACTTAAATAACTATAAGATTATGTGAAAAAAAATCGGAGACCATGTGAAAATGTATTTATTTAGCAGCATATTTTTATAGATTATATGCTTTAAAAAAAAGAATAAACATGTTTCTTTTAATAATGTAATATTTTTACATACCAGTGTCAGTGAAGAAATTATAAGAAAATTAAGAACAATATAAATAATGAATTAATTTCCTTTCTTTTCATAAATGTTAAATGCACAAGCATAAATATTATATATATATTAGTGCATTACACTGATTAACAATGACCATGTAACACTGAAGGCTATGACAATGATGCTGTATAACTGTAAATATAATATTATATTATTTCAGAAATTCCCAGAGATGGGTTGCGGCTGGAAGGGCATCTACTGCGTAAAAACTTGCTTATAAAGTTGGCGGTTCATTCTGATGTGGCGACACCAGATTAATAAAGGGATTAAGCCGACAAGAAAATGAATGAATTATTTCAGAAATAAAATATTTTTACTGTATTTTTTAAAGAAATTTTAAAAAGCCTTAATGAGCATAAAAGACTTTTTTCAAAAAGCATCTCGTCATAAACGTTTGAATGGTAGTGTAATTCAATTTAGTAAACTAGATAATAGTATAAATGTGTAATTATAAATAATAATAATAATTATTAGAAGTCTCAATTTATATTGACTTTACTGTACATTATGTTAAGTCTTAGGGGAAAATTTAAGTTAAAAAGATTATAAATAAATAAGCTCTTTAATCCGTTTAACTTGTCGGGCATTATTATGCAACCACACAAAAGCATGCACAATTGATTTGAGTCACTTCATTACATCTCGCTCCCAAAATAGATAAACATGTTCGTCTGTTTGCCACAAGATGGCACCACACATACCAAATATTTTTGCAGTGTAGTCACCACCTGTGGTCACTCTCTGGATAATAATCAATGTTTTCTCATAGAGACATCAGAGTGGTCACCAGATTATTGCCCTTGAGCAATGCGCTCCACCTCAAAATAGTTCCCTGGCATCCCAGACAGAAAACAAACACTGTCTCAAAGAGACTTTTGTGTAGAAATTGTGAAACAACCATACTGCCGTTAATCTTTTTCACACAATGGGCATGTCTTGAGAAAGCAATTTGCTCATGCACTAAACTCTATTGTGAGCTTCTGCTCAAGCAGTCCACTATGACTGGAAAACCACACTCCACGTCAGTGCAGAGCAATCCTCATCTTACCACAAATCTAATCACATCATTCCCAGTCATACAGCGGCCTCACAAGAACACCCTGAAACCAAGCCTGCTTTCCTGAAAGGCCAAAACAGCAGGAAGACAATAGGCTGTTTTACTATTATTTAAGGATGAAGTAATGCATTTTACCATTTAACTGTAAGATTACTTCAGTCAGGAATGAAATTCGGTCATCATTCACTTGTTTCAAATTTGTTTGAGTTGTTTGTTTTTTTTTTGTTTTTTTTGTTGAACACAAACATTTCATTTGAGCAATGATTAAAACTGGTAGTCATTGGCATTTTGGGTTGTCAACAGTTTCAAAATTCTTTTAAAAAAATCTTATTTTGTGTTCAACAGGAAAAAACCATCAAAGATTTGAAATTACTTGAGGGTGAGTAAATGTTGATCAAACTTTCAGTTTTGAATGAACTGTCCCTGACGTTTAACCTGGTAAAATATTGTAAGATTTCCATGTTTATTTTCCAGTTAACAAACGAACTGAAACTGAAGAAAAAACATTCTGTTTCTTAACAAGTAAAACACCATTTCACTCAACGGTACCAAAACATTATGATCTTAATCACTGGTAGTAATTTTTAAGGCTGCACCATTTTCTTCTTTCACATGTATAAAGAGAACCCCTTTACTGTAGCTTTGGAAGCATGTGCTGCCCAGATTTAAGGCCCATGTCTGAACAGCTTTCAAAATATACTCAATCATGAATAGATGTCTTTGACAATGTGCAATACCCCTAGTGCACTCTTTCAGTTTCAATGTCTGCATTGTTGTACGCATATGTGAACTGTCTTTTAATTTTTCTGTAGGTAGAATGTGAACATTTTGCAGTAAGAGTTTTTTTTTTTTTTCTGTGGCTGAATTTACAGTATGTTCATATGTTAAATGTTTCCTTTCAGACACAAAATGTATTAAAAAGAGTATTTAACTTAATCGCACAACGCTATTTATTATTTAAAGGGTCATGAAAAATAAATGATAGCTTCTGAGATTTTAACCGAGGTGTTTGTGTTTCATATCATCGAAGACTTTAGCATCATTTTTTTCTGCTGTTTTGATCTTCATCTTTGAAATCTGCACAACCACAGGACATGACATGAACTATAACAGTGCTACTTCATGACATGGTGTTTAATGAATATTAATGAAATTTACATGCCCTTATTCTATTAGAAGACACTTTATTTAATTATTTATGCCAGCTTTTCGATGACAGACTGTTGCTTTCCGATGACAGATGACAACCTGTTAGATCACATACTGTAGTGATTCAGAGGCAAATATGCATACATGGGACATTTAGTCGGAGTCAGAATTTTTAGCCCCCCTCTTTATTTTCCCCTATTTTCTGTTTAACGGAGGGAAGATTTTTTTCAACAAATTTCTAATCATAATAGTTTTATTAACTCATTTCTAATAACTTTATTTTATTTTTGCCATGATGGCAGTAAATAATATTTTACTAGATATTTTTCAAGACACTTCTATACAGCTTTAAGTGACATTTAAAGGCTTAACTAGGTTAATTAGGTTAACTAGGCAGGTTAGGGTAATTAGACAAGTCATTGTATAACGATGGTTTGTTCTGTAGACAGTTGAAAAAAAATATCTTAAATGAGCTAATAATTTTGACCTACTGTAAAATGGTTCATAAAAAACTAAAAACTGCTTTTTATTCTAGCTGAGATAAAACAAACATGCCTTTCTCCAAAAGAAAAAAAAATGGTCAAACATTCTGTGAAAATGTCCTTGTTCTGTTAAACATCATTTGGGAAATATTTAAAAAAGAAAAATAAATTCAAAGGGGGGCTAATAATTAAGACTTCAACTGTATGTAACTGGCATATATGGAACATATATGTGCTATACATGTAGGTGACATATAGGTTTCTGGCATATATGTGGACATGTATGTTTCTATCATATATGTTTCCGTCATATTTCTCGGTTGAGGTGCCTTTGAGTAAGCCATCTAACACCCTTGATCCCTGGCCTCTGGAACCAATAGCTGCCCACTCTTATAAGTCTGCGCTCACTGTGTGTGTGTGTGTGTGTGTGTGTGTGTGTGTGTGTGTGTGTGTGTCATAAAAATTTCCATACCATACTGATTTCGAGTATGGTAACCATACTTGACAATTTTTATTTCACCTTAATTCAACATAATAGTTTGTGTTTTGCAAGCAGACAATTTTCAGGCTCAATCCTTCTAGCTAATCAAGACTGAAAACACATCTGTTTAGCTGTGCCTTTACTGAATGAGCACTGTGCTGCGTCCGAAAGATTGCACTATTATGTTTTTCTCTTCTTCTTCATTCTTTTATATCACATTTTACCTGTTTTTATGTTTTTTAATCAGTTTTATTATTTGTTTTTATTTATTTATTTTTTTACTTGTTTCTTTTATTCTTGTTTATGTAAAGCACTTTGAATTGCCACTGTGTATGAAATGTGCTATATAAATAAACTTGGCTTGCCTTAGCTTCAGTGGGCAACCAAACCTGGGTTATAAGGTGATATGGCTGTAAAATGGAAGCTTGTCCCATGATCTCTAAATTTTTTGTAATTTACAGGTAGTTAAAAAAAGGGCTACAGTCTACCTGAGATGACAATGCACGTGTCTTTGTTCCTCCTCTTCATGGCTTTGTATGCAGCATCGGCGATGGCAAAAAGATGTGGCGGTCGCTCATACAACTCTCTGCCTTTGTACTGCTCAATGACGTCCCTTCCATAAATGTTCATGGCACGGTAGGGGTTAACCGACACCACCACTTCTCCAATGTAGCTGTAGATACGACCCTTTTCAAACCTGCAGCAAAAAGACGAGCACATTATTCACATACATGCGTATGATGGAATATTTATTTAACCATGACTCCACAACACATCTGTTTGGTTTGTGGTCAGTGCGGCTTTGTAGAATCATATTTCAGAGCCTTGAGTAAAGAAAAGGCAGCTTAATGAATTATCGCTGTCAGGAATCAAAAGCAAATAAAAATGGCAGGATAGTCAAGGTCATGTTTCATGAGCTGCATAATCTGTTTGCACAATAATAAATCCAGCTGAAAAAGACCAGCGTGAGTTTCCAGGCTGGTTAATGCAGCCGTGCTGTTGTTCAGCAGCCAAACTGACAAGTCATTTAGAATCTCCACATCTCCCCTAAAATCCTCAGCCATATAAAGCGAGCAATTGATGTTCACCCTGCCTTGAAAAAGCAAGCTGTTCTGAGCCTCATCCTCGGGGGAACCTCACTTCCTTGTTCTTGCGAGCAGACCTGGGTCATGCCTAGAATAAGGCATCCTTTCTTCTCAACCTGTGGGTTTGCCAAGCCTCCCTCAGCTTCATCCTGCCCCAGTCATTGCACTTAGAAGTTTGAGGCATGACCTCATATAGTGTCATGCTACACTACAATAATGCACAGTACTCAGTCTCTGGTCTTGCTTTTTAATTTTAAGAACAACAATTCAATTAATTATGTATTAAACATCTAGGAATGCATTCATAATTTAGACTCAGTCCTTAGGGAAATCCTTACTTACGCCCCGCAGAGCAGATATGTACCATACAAAAACATTCACACAAACAAGTCACAGAAACAGGCCTCGGGTCCCTCAGGTCTTTTTGCAAATACGTCAGGGATTCACAGAATGAGCAGCGATCCTTTAAACCAGAATAAATCACCATGGATACATCCTGATGCGTTATTAAAGCCCTGTTTCCACCTGGTGTTAATACGCATATTCAGTGTTCTAAACATACAAGTGGTCAGTCAAGACAAATGACCTATTTAACCTTGTATTAATATGCCAGTTGACTCAACAAAAATAAGCACACTGTAAAAAAAATCCTGGTTGACTTAAATTTTTAAACTGAATCAAATTAACCTTATAATTCCATTAAACTTACATTATGTTAAACTGACTTAAAACAGCTTGGGTAACTAATAAAATTAAATTAGAACATGAATAACTTATGTTTTTAGGTTATTATAACCTATTAAACTATGTTGTCAGGACTAATTGATCATATTTTTTACAATGTTCATTCATTAATTCATTCATTTTCTTTTCGGCTTAGTCCCTTTATTAATCCGGGGTCACCACAGCGGAGTGAACTGCCAACTAATCCAGCACATGCTTCACGCAGCGGATGCACTTCCAGTTGCAAACCATCTCTGGGAAACATCCATACACACACACACGTTCACACTCATACACTATGGACAATTTAGCCTGTATACAATTCACCTGTACCGCTTGTCTTTGGACTGTGGGGGAAACCAGAGCACCCGGAGGAAACGCTAACTGACCCAGCTGAGGCTTACAATGTACAAATTAAGAAAAAAAAAATTACAATTTAAAGAGCCCATATTATGAGTTTTTGAAAATTCCCCTCCATGTAGTGTGTAACACAGCTCTAAGTGAAGTGAAGTATCCAGCTAAGGCTTAAATCTGTTAGTGTACAGTGTTTAAAACTGTTGATTCATCTATAAAAGAGTCGACTTATAGTGCTTCAAACGAGTCGCCTTGATACCGATTCATTAGGTGTTTCGCCATGACGTACGAACGAAACCAAGTTATTCACGTGCACGCGCAAACCCGGGAGATTTCAAACCTGAGGCCCCGCCCTCTGACGCAGATACCCAGACACACACAAACACAAACATGCCGGTCGATTGAAGTCACACTGCAGATGGATATATTGAGTCTCTACCCAAAGATGAAACCTCAGCATTATAGCCAAGCAGTTGGAAACTAAACTACTGGAAACTTCTGGAAACTACATGCTACAAAGAATACTTCATCAGCGTTTGTTAAAGAAAGGATCAGTAAAGAGTAACTTACTGATGGACGTCAGGATGGATTTTTCTTCCTCCATTTCTCAAGTGTAAGTACGTGTTGCCTCGTTGACTCTAGCTTGCAAATGTATTTAGTTGTGATTTGTTACTTGTAACCGCGTGTACTGTATCAGGTTAACTGGCTATATTCTCTTATCGCGTGCAAAGTCACGTTAAAAACGCGACGCATGCTGCTTTGTTAACGGAGCTCCGTGGACGAGGAGTAGTGTGTGTGTCTGTGTGTGCGTGTGTGCGCGCTGTCGTCCGGAGGTGTGTGTGTGTGTGTGTGTGTGTGTGTGTGAAAAGAGCAGAGTGAGAAGCAAGGAGATCTCCTCAACAGTTTTTGGAGTTTTTGCTCAATAAAATAGTTAGTCGTCTGAATTTTCAAGTCCATAGTCTGTATTTACATTGACCCACTGGCAGCTAAAATCCACGCCTGCACTATCGAGCGTGTATGAACTGTGATTACTTTTATATTGCTGATTAGCTGTTGTGCATTTCACTCTGACTGAAGGCAGTCGACCAATCGCAACAGACTGTCATTGGTCCAATCAGCGCAGATTAGCTTCGCGCTAAGGAGGGGTTTGGGAACAAATGAATCACTGGACGATTCATACAGGAGTCGCTGGGATAATTATAGGTAAAAATAAATGCAGATTATAAGACCACGAAAGTGTTTTTGGACCTTGCATGCATATTAAACTGTTGTTGAAGAGCCTTACAACAAAGATATGACCCTATTTCATGTATAATATGGGCTCTTTAAATGTGTGTTTTTGTACAATGCAGCTAAATATGAACACTTTTTTTACAATTAGTCTCAAATCATTAACGTATTAGGTCAGAAGCCAGAATTTCTGTAATAGTTTATGGCTGTTCGAACACATTTGTCATACAGTATACATACTTGAAATAATGTAGGGATGGACTGAAATGAAAATTCTTTGCCAAAACCGAAAAAAGAGGAGACCAAGGCTGAAAACCAACATCAAAATAAATTATGATAATTATTGGTACCATTGCATTTACAGCTATGATGACTGTGTACTAACCTTACTAAAATAAAGGCATTGCAATTGCATAAATTTATATTTAAAGTTAATAAAAAATCTATCAATTACTTAAGAAAATATATATTTAGTGCATTGCAACAATATCACTATTATAGATGAGGACTTAGTACAGTAAAAAGTAGCAATTGTATTTTACCCAATAATTGCATTGATAATATCCAATAAATATAAATAATTTAAAAAATGCAACAAATACTTGTTTGGGCCCGAACTACAAAACCAAATATAAATCAAATTTAGAATAAGTTTAGCGTAAGCTGCACACTAGTTTATGTATAAATATCAATATAACTATATTCATTTATTAATTTTCCTTCGGCTTATTCCCTTATGTACTGTATCAGGGGGTGCCACAGCAGAATGAACCAACAACTATTCCAGCATATGTTTTATGCAGCGGATGCCCTTCCAGCCACAACCCCATACTGGGAAACAGCCATACACTCACCTTAATCACACATATTTTTACACTATGGCCAATTTGCTTTACCTAATTCACCAATATACTGCATGTCTTTGGACTGAAAGGGAAACCAGAGCACCTGGAGGAAATCCATGCGACCACAGAACTTGCAAACTTTTCAAAAAAGTGAAAATAAAAACTGTATAGTGCATTTATATAAAGATACAGTGCTCAGCATAACTGAGAAAACCCCAATTTGAAAATGAATATTTTTATCCATTTCTCAGTGAATATGGGTAATGTATATTGGTGCATTTGAACGAAACAGATTTATTGAACAGATTTATTTATTCAAATAATGTTTTAGTCACAAAACATTGTTAGAAATGGAAAGATAATACATTTAAATTCATGCAAAATATTGCAGACATTTTTCCCTAACATCTAAATGTGGGCAACTAATTTTTGGAACCATTACTTAAGTTGTTTTGTTAGATTATTGTATTTGCACAAATACAATATTGAAGTATCCTATAGAAAATATTAATTTAAATGAGAGATTTGTGAGGGGTGTACTGATATTTGTTGATCACTGTAGCTATAGATAGAGATAGATTGTTCTGTGCAACAGCCGCCAATCAGTGAAATAAAAACGCATGCACACTGACCTTAATATCGCAGTTAGAGTAAAGTTAATAAAGTACAGTTGTGATGAAGAGCAGAGGAACCAAATAGACACACCACAGACATGCTGCCTCAGACAACACATGCAAGCCACAGTTTCTGTTTGAGTAACAACATAATGAATATTCGGTGCATCCCTAACTTAAACACACAGTAATTCCTATTCATCTTGATAAATGTATCCCATTGTTCCCAAAACATTTTTATTATAGGCAATAAAAAAAGCTAAACCAGCACAGTTCTGAAGCATCATGTGACACAGAAGACTGTATTAATGATGCAGAAAAATCATCTTAGAAATAAATTTAAAAAACAATTACTTTACTACAACTGTAATATTTCCCAAGATTGTTTGTACTCGTTCATTTATTTATCAAATAAATGCAGACAGCAGTTTGTGAGGGTAGGAGACTGTGATTTTTTTTATTATTAAAAAAATTGTACCAACTCTAAACTCTTTATTAGAATAAGAATTATATTACAGCTATAATAACATAAAAAAAAATTTTACCCAAAATTAAGTCTTCATTAAACCAGTATCACTTTCTTCCTTCTGAGGAACACATTTGAAGCAATGTTACAAAGCTATATTCTCCCAGTCAAGCAAAGCAAATAGTGATCATGGCTGTCAGGATTTTAGGACATAAAAACTGTACAAGGCTTAAACTGCAATATGACCTTCTTTGTCTTTTTTAAAGACTTATACATGGTACATACATATCCACTACTTTTTAAAATAAAAGCACAAAAGAGCAGCTCCAACATAATACTAAACTTTTCATTTTGTAAAGAAGACATTTATGTGTGTTTGG